GGGGGGGGGTCATGTTCATCCCCCCCCCCGCTGCAAGCGACCACAGAACGCGCTCGCTCCTTTCTTCGAAGGCTGCACCCCCACAGGAGTAGCCACCCCGGCCTGGCCCTGGGCACCCCGAGCGGCCCCGGGGGCGGCCTCGCCCGGCCCCCCCCCCACGGGGCGCGCCCCCTGCGAGGAGCGCTGCAGACCAGTTTTAAAGGAAGAACAAACGCCACAGACATAAACTTTTGACGCTCCGCGCGGATGTCTTGGATCTGCGCTGGAGTCCCCTCCCTGGCGCGCGGAGCCCGCCAGGGGCGGCGCCGGAGGCGCCGCCGGGGTGGGGCCCAGCGCGGATCCAGGAAACTCGCGCGGAACGCTAAAAGTTTATGTTTATCGCGCTTCTTCTTCTTCGACTTTTGGGGTCCAGGAACCGTGGTGCGGTGACGGACCGTGCCGAGAAGTCAAGCGCCCCAGAAAAACCTCACCGCACGGTGAGTCACCGCCCCAGGCTGCTCTTCGGGGTCCCAGGCCCGCGGTGCGGTGGCGGACGACAGATGAGGGGCAACGGCGGGGGGGGGGACTGGCATTGGGGGGGGACACATATCGCCCTGGGATCGGCGATACATCGCCGATAGACCGGCGATGGGCCCCCGATCATGAATCCGCACGCTCCTGGGCCGGGGCCCCCACCGGCGATCGATGGGCGACGGGTGGTCGATGCGTCCTCCCTTATGCCTATCCCTCCTATCGTTGCTCCCGAACAGATCGTGCGGTAAAGTCGAACTCCGCAGAAGGACCTCACCGCGCGGTCCGCCACCGCACCGTGCTGGGACCCCAGAGGGCCCCCCTACAGTCATCGGCCTGACCAAGGAACGATAAATAAGGAACGAAGCCCCTTTTTATCCAAAGGAATAACGCATAAGGAGCGATAAACAATACATAACGCATAAGGAACTGTAAATAACGCATTCAAGCCTGAGGAACGATCGAGCCCCTTTTGAAAAGTAAATGTTCCTTGTTCAAGCCGCTCACTGTACCGCCCGAGACGCCCTCGGAGAACAGCCCGAGGCCCACAACCGTGCGGCCATCCCCGGAGCCCTAGAATGACTCCGGGGTAAGAGTGACCCTGGGTGCAGTCGGACCTCGGACAGATGTTAACGGGCGAAGAACGGTATAAAATAAACTTTTTCGCTGTCGGGGGCGCCTGTCCCAGGGCGGCTGGAAAGTTTATACCCTTACGCAGCACCGTAGGGGTATAAACTTTCCAGCCGCCCAGGGGCAGGTGTCCCCGACAGCGAAAAAGTTCATTGTATACCGTTCTTCGCTCGCTGAAGATGAACATCCTTTCACGACATGGGACCATCCGCCGGTCAACACACACATAACATCCGAGGGCACCCTCCCCAGGATGCACGAGACCATCCAAACAGCACGAAGAACACAAGGGTGCCACCGACCTCGATCTTGTGCCTCGGCCCAAGTGCAAGAGCGACCTGGGGTAAGGAGTGACATTGGGTGAACGGCTGTTTGGGCTCCGCGGGGGGAGACCAAACACACGCGCGCAAGACGCTACTACCGCATCGCGTTCGGTGATCTGGGGACCACATTGTCGGCGGTGGACAAACCTCCCTTTAGTAAACCACCCTTCAATGAAAACGGCCTGGGACCGAAACCGACGGTCTTGGACCCGCAAGAATGACGGCCGCGACGCCCTCGCGAACTGAAAACGGCCAATTCGCTAATTGACGTGTCAAGGTAGGAAGCCGATAAACCTCCGACATTGTGGAGCAGGGACCGACCGTCCCGGCATTCCTATAGTCCTACCACGAAGTGTTTTTAGAACCCGTAGATAATCTAATAACAAAAACAGTGTTCCTAGAACATAAACCCGATGTGATAAAACAAGACAATCCCAACCAGAAATGTTCTAAGCACATGTTGTGGAAGCCACAAAAGGTTATTAGAACATTGTTTGGTAGGACCTATAGGCACGCCAGGACGCTTCGCCAGTGCTTGGCATTTGGGCCGCGCCAGAGGTCACTCCAACGAAAGGTCGCTGTTGCGTCTAGATGCTGAGACCTCGGGGTGGGGGGGTGCCCGTGCGCAGCCGGCAGCCCTGCCAGGCGCCGATCCTCTTCCTCCTCGGCCTCGGCCCCTTCGGCTGCCGCCGGCTTCTTCGCCGCGGGCGCCGCCGCCTCCTCCTCAAGGATGAGGCGGCGGCGGCGGAGGAGGAGGCGGAGGAGGAGGAGGCAGAGGAGGAGGACGAGGAGGAGGACGAGGAGGAGGAGGAGGAGGAGGACGAGGAGGAGGAGGAGGAGTCCTCCTCTGCCTCCTCCTCTGCCTCCTCCTCGTCGGCGGGTGCCTCCTCGGCCGCGGCAGGCCGCTTCGCGACCCGCTCCAGGGGCTCCTCGGGGGGCGCTGGCGCGGCGGCCGCGGGCTTCTTCAGCACGTTCGCGCTTATGTCGTTCTCTGGCCTCGTGTCCTTGGAGGACCAGCAGACGACATATAAGCATCATCTTGCCGTCGCTCGGATCGTCCATCTGCCCGTATGTGTTGGCTTCGTGTGTGCATTTTGTTCTCCGATGGTCCACGCCGAGAGAAATGCACACGCCCGAGCGATGCCAAGCCGTGCTGCCACGGGGACGCGGAGCGAGGAACCAATGGGGCCCTGTCGGGACACGGCCGGCCTCGGCCAGTAAGACTATAGGTCCTCGACAGACCGAGCAGGGGATCGACTGCAGAGGTGCTTGTTTCCCAGACTTTTTTCTACTACGTTCTGTGCTTTCTGGTGGATTCGGCGAAAAATCAATCCAGTGGTAGATCGATGCTGTAGTCGATCCCCTGAGCTGCTCGAAAGGAGCAGCAGACGGCATGCAGTCGTCATGCTACCACTGTCATAGGGGGCGCTGAACGACGAACGAAGGGGCCCTTGTTCCCTGGCCTCGTGCCCTCAGCAGACGACATACACCCATCTGAGCAAGGAGCGAAAGGAGCCTCTGTTCTCCGGCATCTTGTCTCCAGAGGACCAGCACACGACATACAGTCATCATGCTGTCACAGGGCACGCTGAACGAGGAACGAACGGGGCCCTTGTCCTCTGGCCTCGTGCCCTCAGCAGACGACGTGCAGCCGTCCTGCTACTACAGGGGGCGCCGGACGAAGGACACCAGGGCCTCTGTTCTCGGGCCTGGTGTCCCCAGAGGAGGAGCAGACGACACGCAGCCATCGTGCTACCACAGGGGGCGCCGAACGAGGCACGGAGGGGGCCTTTGTCCTCTGGCCTCGTGCCCTCGGAGGAGGGGACGGCATGCAGCCATCGTGCTACAGTTGGGGCCCTTCCACAAGAAACCTTCCACAAGAAACCCAACTCTGAGGCCGCAGGACGTCCATGGATTTTCGGTGTGGGACCGTCACGGTTTCCATCGCAAAACCATCGATACCCAAGAAACCCAGGGCACCCTGGAGGCGAGCAGGGTGTTTCTTGGCATGGTTCTCCACTGTGTCACAGGGGGCGCCGAACGAGGAACGAAGGGGGCCTGCTTCTAGCACAAGTGACCCCAGCCAAGACCATGCTCCCAGACCTGGCCTTAGGTCGGGCATGTCCTCCTACAGGGGGTTTTTGACGAAGAATGAAACATATTCAAAACATGTTCAAACATAGCCAAAACATAATCAAACCATCGTCTCCAGACTATTTTTTGACTATGTTTGAAGATTCCTCCTGCAGAGGGAGAGACCCGACTCAAACCTGGCCCTGAGGAGCGGCCCAGAAACCAGAGCCCCTCCTCAGCCCGTCGTTTTTTTTTGGGGGGGGGGGGTACGGCAGGTTCGTGTCGTGCCGACTTCGGCGTTGGTATTTGACGCCGCGGGGATCGTTCAACCTTGAACGATCGGCCGTTTCCGAAACGTCCAAATCGTTCCACATCGACCGATTCTGGGTCGCCCGCGGCGTTCAACGTTGAACGCCGCTGGCGGGGTCGCCGCCGGTCGACACGACACGAACCTACCGTATTGCATTTCTCTTTCACTGTGCTGTTTCTTCGATCTCCGAATCTCAGCGCCTGGATTGTACAGTGCGCGCAGAAAGCTCGGGGGGCCGCGCGGAGCTCTTGGCTCGGCGCCGGACCACCCCGGCGGCGCCTCTGGCTCCGACCCTGGCGCGCCAAGCGCGCCATGGGGGCAGGGACCAGTACCGATCCAAGAGTCGGGTCGGGCGAAAGGGGGGGATAGCAAAGGGGGGGTTTGAGAATCAGCTCACGTAGCTGATTTTCCCGGCGCCTCCCGGCGCCGGAGGCGGCCATGTATCGAGGAATGGGCCCCTCGGTGGGGCCGAAACCAGCTGCATGCAGCAAATTTCGTAACCCCCCCTTTCCCAATCCCCCCCTTTCGCCCGACCCGAAAGAGGTCCGCGAGGACCCCCGAACGTTTACGATGGTGCGCTTTCTTATCGCTCGAGTCCCGGAACTCCCGCACCTGCTTCGCGGTGAAGTGCTCCAGGTCCCCGTCGCAGTAGCGTATTCTGTAGAGGCGCTCCCCGGAGACCTGGCCCACCTCGATGTCCTCCACCTGGCCGGTAAAGTACTGGTCGCCGATCAGCCGCCTGATCTTCATGTCCATCAGAGGGTCGGCCTTCTTCAGATCCGGCGCCAGATCGACCAGCTCCTCTAGCACGCTGGGAAGGAGGGCCCTGCTGGTCGAACAGGTCCCTTGTCCTCGAGGCCTTCCCCAGGAATGTTTTCTTGGGTCATCCCGAATCGTTTCCTGACGGTCCTGGGGCCCAAAACGACGTCCTTGGGTGCCGGAGACTTGCGCGAAGACTACAAGGCCATTTCCTCTCTCGGGGATCGAACAATGCCACAGGCATAAGCCTCTGGGGATCCGCGCGGATTTCTAGGATAGGAGCTGGACTCCTGGCGCGTAGAGCGCGCCAGGGGCGGCGCCAGAGGCGCCGCCAGCGGGGTCCAGCGCCGATCCGAGAAACCCGCGCGGACCTCCGACAATTTATGTTTCTGTCGGAGGCTGGGGGGTGAGAACGCAGTGGAACGGACAGCCCCCTGCCGGGAAGCGGGTTTCGGCTTCGTGTTCGTGTCGCGCGTGCGGGCGAGGCGAAGCTGCGTGGGTGCGCGAGAGGAATGACCCCGCCGTCGCTGGAGCGATTCGGATGCAGTGGACCGCCCCTCTGCCCCCGGTGGGCGCGCGGTGTCCCCAAGTGTCCCGCCGTGGTGTCCTGTGGTGTCCCGTTGGTGTCTCGATGGTGTCCTGTCGGTGCTCCGTCGGCGATGGGCGGGCGGTGGCCGGGGGTGTCCCGCTCTAGTTTCGATAGTGGGATCAAACATGAGATCGACAGTGAGGTCGATTGAGCTCGCGCTGTCGCATGCGCAGGGAGGCGACGTCCCCTGGGTGGTGCAGTTCTCGCGGGGACAGGCGATCTCCCCTGGAGCGAGCTCAGTGGGATCGCTGAATCCGTTGGTGCTAAGACTGGCTTTGATGTCGATAGTGGGATCGATCGAGTGACATCGAACGCGGGGACGATAGTGACATTACATCGCAGCGCAATGTCGACATCACGCGTCGTCGCCAACTCGGGGGCGCGCCACGGGCATCGTCATCACCACACCCGCCGCATTTGCCAGCAGCTGGCTTTTCCACCCCCGTCCCCCAACCTCCGTATCACCCGAAGTGTGGTCCGTACAGATGCAGTCGGCTTTGATTGGACAGGACACGAGAGAGGACACGAGACCCTTCCGAGGGCCACATTGCCACAGGAACGCAGGAGGCATGGGCCGCGAGACACAAGGCAAAAGGGCACCCTTGATTTGGCAGGGTCGACCTACCAATCCGGGCCGACTGTACTTCTTTGATCCCCGACGTTCTTCGTGGCGGCTCCTCCTCTTCGCCGGCGCCGGCATTGTTCGGCAGGGCCGCCATCTCTCGTGCGCGCGGCGGTGGTCCGGCCCAGTGGCCCGGCCTCACGTAGGGGTGGCCCCAGGCAGGAGTGGCCTTGGGTTAAGTCGGGCCTGTCCCTCTACACGAGGGATATTCAAAAATAGTCCGAAAATGTTCTGGGGGCGATTTTTTTTTTGTTGTTTAATGCAATTCTTGATCATGTGGGGCATTTTTTGTGAATATTTTGGATGTTTCGCCAAAGTCCCCCTCTGGGGGGACAGGCCCGACCTAAGAGTGGCCTCGGGTGCGCGGCTTTGGGGGGGGGCGCGGTGCGGCCAGACGCGAGCGCGCCAGCTGCTGCTTCCGCTCGAGGGGGGGGGAATGGACTGCAGAACCGTTTTTTCCCCAGAACTGTTTTCTTCCGCCGAATCCACGAGCAGCATGTCGGATGATCGTAGATCTACGAACCATTCTACGCATCTTGTGTGGATCCAACGAACAATCCATTCTGAGGTGGATCAATTCTGTAACGTCGTCGTCATCGTCGTCGTCTTCGTGCGGCGACCACGACGACCTCCTCTTTCAACTTTTCGTCCTCCTACACCCCGCCTGCGACTTTCCGGGACAAATCATGTATTATCCTCCCGGGACCCCTAACTTTATTATCCCCGATTGTGAATCTCAGGAGCATCTGGTTAGTCGATCCCCTATTCGAATCGCATCGCGTCCAGGCATCTGGGGCCCCACGGTGTGCCCGCACCAAAGGTCACTCCAGCGAAAGGTTACCCTCACGTGTAGCCGACGGGCGAGGCAGAAGCCAGGCAGCCAGAGCAGCCCGGTGCGGGGAAGCAACTTTTGAGCCTGAGCCCTGCGTGCCGAAGCCGCGCCTACGCCCACCGCGCGACGACGCAGCCGCCGCACCCGCCCGCGCGCGTCCACCAGAGGCCTCTCAAACGGGGTCCGAGTGCGCAGATCGGGCGGACGATTGCGCCGCCTCGCCGATCCATCGGTGATGCATCGGCGCCGCCGGCGGGGAGAACCTCGGGATCCACATCGCGCCGCGCCGGCGATGCGGCGCGATCCTCCGACCTCTTCTGCTCGGACCCCATCTGGGAGGCCCAGGATCTAGCCGGGCATGTCCGCTCCTCATCCGCCTTCCCTCCGCTCGCTTTCGAGCCCTGGCCTCGGCCACGGGCGGCCGCTCGGTCTGTCTGTCTGTCTGTCTGTTTGTCTGTCTGTCTGTCTGCATTGATGTATGTATGTATGTATGTATGCATGCATGCATGCATGCATGCATGCATGCATGGATGTATGTATGTATGTATGTATGTATGTATACATGCATGCATGCATGCATGTATGTATGTATGTATGTATGTATCTATGTATGTATCTATGTATGAATGAGAGAGCGCGTTTCACGGGCGCTTGCCTTGGGAGCATTCGGCGGCGCGTTTCGAACCGGGGGGTGGGCCCCCCTTCCCCAACCCTCGGCGCCGTCGATTAGAACCAGGGGGACTCCCTTCCCTCAAACCCCCCCCCCCTCCCAAACCCGCCCGTCCCCCTGGCGCCGGCGCCGGCGCTGGCGGCGGCCAGCAGCACGCGTTCTGACGCTCTCGCTGCGCCTGATCTTCCAGGACCCCTGCCGCCGGCAGGGAGACGGCCTCCCCCCCCCTGTCCTCGTCCTCCTCCTCCTGGTTCTACTCCTCCTGTCCTTGTGTCCGACGGCCCTCGTTTGTCCAGTCGGTTTCAGAAGGTCTACGAAGGTACGAGCAGTCCAGACCTCCTAATGCACAGCAGTAAGCCTTGTGTGTGTGCACTCGTGCTAGGGTTATGAGTGCACGGCGTTCGCGGCCCCTCACGCTTCGTGCTGATCTGAGGCTTGCGTGCACTGTCGTCGGTGGGTCTTGCTCGTGTCACCTCCCGGACAGTCGCGCGTCTCTGAGCGTATGAGCCTTTGTGCACTCGTTTCCCTTGCAGGCTGATTCGACAGGGCGTCGTACTATCGCTCTTGTGAGTTGACTATTATGATGATTATTATTACCTCCTCCTCCTCCTGCTGCTCCTCCTCCTCCTGCTGCTCCTCCTCCTCCTCCTCCTGCTGCTCCTCCTCCTCGTGTCGGGGCTGGGCCTGAATGTGCAGCCGGCGCGCCCCCAGGAGCGCGGTTGCAGGCGCGGCGGGGCCATGGCCGAGCTTGGCCAGCGGGCCTGGATCTGCAGCCTTCCTTGGCGGCGCGCACAATGGGGGCAGGGGGAGGGGGCAAGGCTTCTTGGAAAGAGACTGCTGCTTAGAAGGCGGCGGCCTTGTTTGCAGATGCAAGGCCGCCGCCTTCTACAGAGCAACCTCCTTCTGAGAAGCCTGCCCCCCTTCCCCCTGCCCCGCTCTGCGCGCGGCCGAAGGGCCCTCCTCCAGGGCCAGCTTCTCATCCCGAGCAACTGCTTGACGCCCGTTCGGGCCGATACGGAGCGCAGCTGCCAGAAAGCATCCCGAGACAAGAACACCTCACCTCCTATGCAACTGCCTGGCGGCCGTTTGGGCCGATGCGAGGCGCAGCTGCCAGGAAGCATGCCGAGGCGAGCGCACCTCCGGGAACCGACCAGAAGGTCCGCGAGGCCGAGGACGATGAAAAACCCGGCCCGCGCCAGAGGACCCGCTTCCTCCTCCTCCTCCTCCTCCTCCTCCTCCTCCTCCTCCTCCTCCTCCTCTTCCTCCTTTTCCTCCTCCTTCCCGACGCTGGCGACGCCTGCCTCTCTCGCCTTGCCGGGCGGCCCCGCGGCGTTTGAGGGTTGGGGTCCTCGGCACCAGCGGCGTGGCCATCCTCCAGATGGCGCTGGTCAGCGTGCCGATGCGGATGATGAAGACGGTGCGCACCTTCGCCCTCTCTTGGAGCGGGAAAGGGGCAGGATCGACTACACTAGGGGGACGAATAATGACATTGACATAACTAACAAATCGGAGGTCCGCGCGGACTTCTCGGACCTGCGCTGGACCCGCCTGGCGGCGCCTCCAGCGCCGCAGCCTGGCGCGCTCCGCGTGCCAGGGAGGGGGGTCCAGCGCCGATCAGAGAAATCCGCGCGGACCTCTGAGTTTCTATGTCTATGTCATTCTTCCTTCCCCTATACACGCAAGAGTGACCCTGGGCAAGAGTGACCTCTGGTGAGCGGCTTTCGGGGGGCGCGGGTACACCCTGCGAGATGCTTAAGAAATCATGGGTTAAGAGATTCATAGTCTCAGAACTTGAGTAAAAACCCCAAAATTTCACTCAAATCTTAGGATTTACATTGAAACATTAAGAATAATCAAGACTCTGGCCAAAAAAACAGGTTTTCTTAAGCATCGCCTAAGGTGTAGGCCAAACTCAAGCGCGCAGGCCAGTGCCGGGGGGACCCCCTTTGTGAGCCCGCAGCAGAAGGCCACTCCAGCGAAGGGCCACTCCTGCACAAAGTCGACAGGAGACACCCCGAACTCCACCTTGGTGATCTTGTCGCAGCGTGGACCTTCGGAAATCGCGACTGCTTCCTCCAGGGGGGCCGTTCTGCATCCCGAACCGTTGTCTGACGATCCCAGGCCCGGCACAGGCCTCCAGAAGCCGAACATCGCCCAGACCCAGCCGTCGTGATCTACAACGCGAGGAGGAGGAGGATGAGGAGGAGGAGGAGGAGGAGGAGGAGGAGGAGGAGGAGGAGGAGGAGGAGGAGGAGGAGGAGGAGGAGGAGGAGAGAGGAGGAGGAGGAGGAGGAGGAGGAGGAGGAGGAGGTGGGGCAGGAGGGATGAGGCAAATGATGAGGATGAGGATGCTGATGAGGAGAATGATGAGGAACGTGAAGAAAAAGAAGGAAGGAGGAGGAGGAGGAGGAGGAGGGAGGAGGAGGAGGAGAGGAGGAGAGGAGGAGGAGGGGGAGCAGGAGGAGGAGGAGGAGGAGAGAGGAGGAGGAGGAGGAGGAGGAGGAGCAGGGGGGAGCATGAGGAGGAGGAGCAGGACGAGCAGGAGAGAGGAGGGAACACGAGGACGAGGAGGAGGAGAACCATGAGGCGGAGGAGGAGAAACATGGAGGAGGAGGAGGGAAGAGGAGGAGGAGGAGGAGGAGGAGGAGGAGGAGGAGGTGGAGGATGCGGAGGAGGGGGGGGGAGGAGGAGGAGGAGCAGCAGGAGGAGCAGGAGGAACATGAAGAGCAGGAAGATGATAATGGGGGAGGGAGGAGGAGGAGGAGGAGGGGAGGAGGAGGAGGAGCAGGAGGAGTAGGAGGAGGAGGAGGAGGATGAGGAGGAGGAGGATGAGCAGGAGGAGGAGGATGATGAGGAGGAGGAGGAGGAGGAGGAGGATAAGGAAGAGGAGCATAAGGAGGATGAGGAGGGAGGAGGAGGATGAGGGAAAGGAGGGAACGGAGGAAGAAGAGGATGAGGAGCAGGAGAAGGAGGAGGATCATGAGGCGCAGGAGGAGTCAACGGAGGACGATGAGGATGATGGGGAGGAGGAGGAGCAGGAGGAAAGGGAGGAGCAGGAGGAGGAGGAGAAGGAGGAGGAGGATGAGGAATACCATAAGGATGATGAGCATGAGGAGGAAGATGCGGAGGAGGAAGAGATGAGGAGGAGGAGGAGGAGGAGGAAGAGGAGAGGGAGGAGGAGGAGGAGGAGGAGGAGGAGGAGGAGGAGGGGGAGGAGGATGCTGAGGAGGAGGAGGAGACTGAGGAGGAGTTTGAGCTTGAGGAGGAGGATGCGGAGGAGGAGGAGGACGAGGAGAACGAGGAGCAGGAACATGAGGAGCAGAAGGAGGCGGGTGAGGACAGTGAGGACAGTGCCGAGAGCGTGCAGGTGAATCACGAACACGCCTCGAAAAGGAAAAGGGACGAGAGAGAGACCCTCACCCAACAAGGGGCACTCACCGCGCTGTGCGCGGGGCCGGGGAGCAACGGTGCGAGGGTCACTAACGGCGCAACGCCGGGCAGTCCCCACTCGCACCGCGCCCCCCGTTGGGAAGACAAACCCACGCCTGTACCTCCGCCCACTATGCAGGTGCCTCGGGCTCGGGCGCCTGCTGCGGCATCGCAGGCTCCCCGAGCTCCGAGAAGACGAGCGGCTCGAGGGGCTCGCCCGTCTTGGGATGCAGGCCCCTTCGAGCCTGCTCGAGCATCGACGCGATAGCTCCGTCCCCCCCACTCCCAGCTCCCGCCGACCCCGTCCCAGCCCTCTTGCACGCTCGAGACAGGCCGACCGACAGCCGATTGGGGCGCACAGCGTGCGCCCCGCACTTTACACAGATCAAAACTCGATCCAAGGCCTGGACCTGGTGTCCTGGCCCGACCTCCTGGGGGTCGCATGCACGGGAGGCCAGAGACTTCAACGACGAAGCCGTCGCTGCAAGCCTCCAGCAGGCTCGACATCGAATCGCTCCCCCAGCGAAGACCACAAAGTCGTGATCGGTCGGCCGCCGCGGACGGCGGGGCCGAAAGACAGCCTTCGGAGGCGCACGGAGTATCGGGGTGGAGAGGCGGGCCACGCGCTCGGCAGCCCAGGCCAGACAACGCATCGTGTCCTGGGCCCGAAGCAGAGAAAATTTGTGAGCCTTGACCACGGAGGTGGATCCAAGGAAATCTGCCGCAGCCACGCGGGCGAAAACATCAGCCCACATATTACCGAAAAAATGCTCCAGGGGCTCCTGGGAAGCCAGGCAGGCATCAAACCCCTCGATGACGGTCCGATGGGCCTTCGTCCAAACAAACACGGGCCTGACAGGGTCGCCTCTATACAGCTCGTGGATGCTCCGCCAGATGGACGCGTGAGGCGCTCTGGCAGAAGCATGACGACCCTCCCAGGCCATTCCCTCGACCTGCAGCTGTAAATGATCAGTCACGTACGTGGCTGGCCTCTGGGCCCTCTGCAGGGCCTTGAGACCAGCAACGCGCTCGGCCCTGGGCACCGTCTGGATAGGGCCCCCCAGGCTCCCGAACAAAGCTTTGTATGGCCACAGGTCTCGGGTCAGTGCCACGACGGCCCAGCCACAGCGCCGTTCCTCAGGGAAATCACTTTCAAGACAGGACCCGTCCCCGTACAACTTCGACGGCCGCGGCATGTCGATCGCCCCCCACTCGCGCTCAGCCTGAGCACGTGCAGGCAGCGGCCTGAAAACAGGCCTCAGGGGCAGCGCGTAGAGCACGTCGATGGCCGAGAAGTCCTGCACCTGGCCCCCGTCGCGCCACGGGGCTGCCTCCAGGATGTCCTTCCTCCTCTTGGCCACCTCCTCGGGGTACGGCTCCGTCTCCTCGTCCTCCTGCTGCTGATGCAATACCTTGCAGCCGAAGATCTCATGCTCGAGGTCGCAGCAGGCCTCCCCGCAGAACTCGCACGAACCGTCGCCGCCGTAGCCAGCCTGCATGCGGCGCTGCGGCGACCAGAACCCGTTGGACTGCAGCTTGGCCAGAGCCCCTCTGTGGCCAGGCGCCAAGGAGGCGTGTCCCAGTCGAAGCGCACGAAGCCACACATGCTGCTGCCGCCTGCCGTCACCATCGGCTGGGGGCGCCTCAGGCAGCTGGTCGAGGATGCGATGGCTCTGCCAACGGTCGAGGCTGCGACGCAGGAAAAACAGCACCTCACTGGGACAATACTGCAGCAAACTGATATGCAGGCCCTCATCGTCAACCAAGATTGTAGAACTTGCCATGTTCCAGTTGACTCTCCTGAGGGACAACCACAAGGCCGACAGCGGGCCCTGCGCACTGGCCCACGTGACGTGAGTGTGGCGGGCTTCCCAGGAGTCACGCAAGCCCATCCAGGCCCGCTGCAGTCGGCAGAGCGTCACACGCCCATCCCACACCCACGCCGCGTACTGCCCCACGATGCTGAAGGTAGCGTGGAAAATGGGGTCGAAGCTCCACTGCTGCGCGGCCAGGTACAGCGTCAGGGAGCCCGACCCCTTGTAGCCACAGAAGACGCCAGCCATGGTCCTCATCTGCTGCAGCTCCGTGTCGCTGATGCCGCTGACCGTGGCTCCGTGCCCCACGGATGGCAGCACGCCCGTGGCCCAGAGCCGAGCCGCCCGCTGTCGTCCTGCTCCCTTCTGCAGTGCTCGAACGCTGGCCTTCTTGCCGTGCATGGCCTTCAGGCGTCCCTTCAGCACGGCCCTTGTGGCCGACGACCCAGCTAGGTCGTGGCCAAGGTACCGCATGTGCCTCTTGCCAGCGATCTTCAGCAGCCTAGCGTACTTCTGAAAGTGGTAGCTGGTGCGCCTGGACGTCGTAAGGTGCCCAGACTTATCCATCTGCAGCACCAGCCCGAGGGGCCGGACAGCCCTGCAGAACGCACGAGTGGCAATGGCCATTTCTCGCACCCCGCTCGGGTCGTTGCCGACCCAGCACAGCGCGACGTCGTCCACCAAGTCCTTGGGCTGAACCTGAGGAGCGACCGACATCGTCTGGCGAATGCTGCGAGTCAACAACACCATGAGAAGCGTGGTGGCGTGGGTGCAGCCTGCCAGGATGCCCTGATACGCCCTGCGCGCCACTGAATACGAAGAATACGAGTACACCGAACGCAGCTGCTGGTACATCTGCACAAGCATGAACGCCATTCGCATAGGGTATCCATTGGCCCTGCACTCCAACAAAATGGCATCATGCCTGACCAGCTCGTAGCATTTGAGCATGTCCAGCAGCACAATGATGGCGTCGTCATCGCACAGGGTCGCCATCTCCTTGGTGAGCGCCAAATCAAAGGCCGCATCACTCGACGACTTGCCTCCAGTGTGGCCCCAGACCTCTGGGAGCGCATGGGCCTTCTCCCACGCTGCCGAGACAGGCCGCCTCGCCCGTCCCCAGATCCTGACCAGCGTGTTCATCAGCACAATCAGGCGCTCCCCACCCCCTGGCTTGGGGAGTCTCACGAGCTTCGAGAGGAATCTGCCGTCTGGCCACAGCAGGAGGTGCTCGCACCGCTCGAAGAGGCGCGCCATGGCCGTCAGCGCCCCGTGGGAGAGGTGCTCCATGGCCCTGGGCGCGATGTTGATCTGCCCGACGCCTGTCTGCCAAGAGAAACAACGGATTGCCTTGAGTACGTCGGCCGCCTCAAGCCTTGGCAGCTGCTCCCAAGTGTCAGCATCAACAGGTCGGCGAGCCAGCTCACCGCCATGCCGCACCCAGAAGCTTTCCCAGTATTCAAGCTTACGATCAGCCAGTACGTACCCATGTTGTAGCCCATTGCCTCCGTCCACGATCTCCTGGAGAGCCTTGGGCTTCATGAATCGGTGAGCTCCCTTGGCTCCAGCCACAAAAGCTGCCTGCGCCCACTGCCTCCAGCTCTGCATCACGGCCTTCTCATGCTTGGCCTCAGCATCGGAGGAGATACTCAGGATGCGGTCGACCTGCTGCTCGAAGTCTGCCTGCGCTAAGGCAAGTATGCCACGCGAGAAGAAGCCGACGGCCTCGGCGTCCAGGTGCGGCCAGACTCCCTTCCTCCGCCAGATTCTCTGGAAGAAATTCTCGCACTCCAGCAGGTGGCGCGCCGCCTTGGAGTGCACGGCGTCCCACGATAGGTCCTCGCCTGCACGTCGCGGGGGCTGGTGTCGCTGAGCTCTCGACCGAGGCCGACCACCATCGGAGGAGAGATCAGCCACTCCGACGACCTCCGCAGCAGGAAGTGCCCCATCGCCCAGGCCAGGCACTCCGTCGACGTGCGCCTCGCCGACGCTGCCGAGCTCGAAGACCTGCTGCGGGCGAAGCTGGAGCACGAAGCTCTGCAAGGCCACTCGAACCCTCCTGAGGTGACGAGCCCAGCGCGCAGCCTGCGCCCAGGCCTGGGTGTCCGCCGACCTCCTGCTCCAGGCACCTTTCACGACAGGGTGAAAACTCGCCAGCTCGAAGGTCGGGGGGCCTGGCACCGTGGAGTACCCCGCCACGTCCTTCACGACGTCGTAGCGGCCCCGCAGCTCGAACTCGATGCCGCTGAGCACGACGTCCCAGGCCCTGGTGATGCCCTCGCTGTCCGACGCGCTCTGGATGATCGCCAAGGATCGGGTCCCAGTCGGGGGGGAACCTCGCGCACCCCGCCGCAGGCGGCCTCCGAAAGCCGCGTGGCTCGACAAGCCTCCTGACCTTCGCGTCAAAAGCCGTGGCGGAGAGCTCCATGGTCACTGGTAGATGCGGCCACGTCTCCGCGTCGACGACCACTGGTTGCCGAACGCGAGGCAGCAAACGGCAAGAAACCATGAACATGTCAATGGTGCGGCCAGGAAGGCTCTGAAGACAAGTCGGCTCTCTCGGCGCCAGCACCACGCCATTGGCCGACTGGAGCCAGGACAACGGGCCGAGCTCGCCTACCTCCATGTTGAAGTCGCCTCCTACGATCCACGGAACGCCCATGGCCTCCAGCGACCTGACATACTGGTACAGCTTGTACAGCATGGCCAGGTTCTCGGGCGACAGCTTGACGTCCACAATGAAATAGCACGACAGCATGACGAAGCCGCCCTTCACCCCAGCGTGGACATGGGCCGCCATCATCCTGCCTTCCTGCAGCACGTGACTGTCCAGGCCTGGGGGTTTGGTGATGACCACCCGCAGCGGGGCCAGCACCGCAACCCCGCCTCTGCTGCCAACTCCCTGCCCAGGTAGGGCGGGCTCCCATATACCATGGTACCCAGCAGCTCTTACTTTATTCTGCAACTTCGCCAATGCATCGCCCTCGGCCTTGGCATGATGTTCCTGCACCGCGATGCATAAACTCGAGCACGTGGGCAGGAAATCGACGAGCGGGCCGCCCGAGGACACGTTCACGGTGGTGATACTAGAAACCGACGCCATGGTGCGACAAAGGAGGACGAACCACACAAGACACGCAAAAAATCGCCGTGGAGCCATACTAGGCAGGGGTAAGCCTGGGCCTCTTGACCTTGGCACCCCAACGCATGAAGATCTCCTCCAGCCTGTGCTTCTCGCCCCCAGCCGCAACGACTTCCTCCATGAACTCAGGGTCGTCGGAGAAGGCAGATGGCTGTGGTGTGCGAGGCGCTGCCGCGTCGTCCTGCCGCTCGGCCTGCTCGACGTCGGGACCAGCCTCGGCCCCAGCATCAGCCTGCGCCCTCTGGGCAGCCAACTTTGCCGCCTCCTCCTCCTGCAACCTCTGCAGCTCCTGGAAGCTCGCCGTGAGGCTGCCCGACAGCTGGTGATCGGCGCCCAGGCTCTGGAGCAAGATCCCGAGGCCCTCGAGCGTGGCACCAACCCCCTTGATCGGCTCGTCGAGCGACGCCTTGTCGCCAGGCGTCGGAACCTGCCCTTGAAGCCTCTTGCGCTCCTGGTCCAGCTCCTCCATGCTAGCGTCGAGGGCCGCCAGCTTGTCCCGAGTGAGCCGTTCCTTCTCCTGCAGGTCGCGCAACTGCGCCTGCAGCCCATCGAGCTTGGTCTGCTGGTCGTCGCGCAGCTTCTGCAGCCTGGTGAACTGAGCTCCCATCTCGCGCAAGCGCTGTCCGAGCGGTCGGGACTCCGCCACCTTAGCACGCAGCTCGGCCTGCTCGGCCAGCAGCTTGTCGCGCGTGGCCACGACCGACGGCTCGGTGATGCCCTTGAGCTTGCCGATGAGGTCGCCGACCTCGCGTAGCCTGTCCTTGGCGACGGACTCGGGGCCGTCTCCGTCCGCGGCCGGCTCCATCTGCACGTCCTCCCCGCCAGGCGGCGGCCTCTGCACAGCGGCAAGCCGCTTGCGGGCCTCGGCGAGCTCGGACTTGAGCTTGGCCACCTTGACGGAGTCGTCCCAGTAGCCGTTGCCGCTGCCGCCCTGATTGCCCTTCTTCCGCTGGGAGGGGGCCGAGGGCTGGCGCACGCTGTGGAAGACCAGTCCCTTGCCCAGCTTGCACTTCGCACACTGCCGCGCCTCTGCATGATTCCACCACGGTCTCCCCGAGGGCCCGCAGCAGCTCTTGCAGTACCAAGGAAGCGCCTGCTCCGTACGGTAATGCGGCGGTGGCATCTCCACGACACCAGGCAGCAGCACACACGGTGGGCCGTGGCAGCGCGCTCTGGAAAGGACTGGGTGTGGGCGCCCAACTCCCACGGTGAAGGCGAGCGGTGGTCTGGCCGCGGACTAGCGGTATCCGTGCGGTCCCCAGGGGAACCAATCATCTTGAGCCAAAATGGCTACGGAGGAGGCGGGTGAGGAGGAGGAGGGAACGGGGGAGGAGGAGAAGGATGAGGAACATGAGGAGCAGGAGGAGGCAAAGGAGGATGATGAGGAGGACCAGTGCAAACCCACGAGTCATCAACAATGTTGGAATCCACCCTCCCTCCAAACTCCCCCTTCCCAGGCCCCTACAACGGGTCATTTCCAGGAGGAACAGGAGGAAGAGGGGAACAAGAACATGAGGGGGTTGAGGAGGAGGGGGATGAGGAGGAGGATACGGAGGAGGATGCGGAGATGGAACAGGCGGAGGCGTAGGAGGAGGAGGCGCAGGAGGAGTAGCAGGATGGGCAGGAGGAGGAGGAGGAGGAGAACCAGGAGCAGGAGCAGGAGGAGGAGGAGGAGGAGGAGGAGGAAGAGGAGGACCAATGCAAACCCAATAATCATCAACGATGTTGGAATCCACCCTCACTCCAAACTCCCTCTTCACAGGCCCCTACAACGGGTCATCTCCACAGAGGGAACTGCCTCGTTGGAAGACAACCGCTTGAAGACCCTGAAGCATGCCACACCAATGTTCTCGGGATTCCAACGCCACGGATCATGGTGCGTCGTGACGATCCTGAATCGTGCCAGAACGCCATTCCTAGGACTTCAACACCGCGAAGGAAGGTAACGGTTGACCCTCATAACCCTGAATCCTTCCAACACACCATTTCTGGCACGCTGATCATTGGGAATGCGTGAAACCCTTGCGCCTGCATTAAAAAACGGATGTGCGCGGCGCTAAGGCGAGAGCCACATTTGAAAAATGAGCCGCCCTCACTGCGTAAAACTCTTGCAACTTTTTAAACGATTGCGCGCGGCGCTAATGCGAGAACCACGTTTTGAAAACCAATCGCCCACAATCCGTGCAGCTCGTGCATTTTTCTGAAACGAACGTGCGTGGCGCTAAAACGATAACCACATCTTGAAACAACGAACCGCAATCCATGTGTGAAGCCGTTGTCATTGTTTAAACTTCAGGGTCATACATGGTGAAGAAGTCTCGGGCGAAACACCTGGCCCGCTCTAAAACTGGCCCCATGGAGCGACAGGGAGAACTTATTATTCAGAAGGAAAGGAATGGAGGAGGAGGAGGAGGAGAAGGAGGAGGAGGAGGAGGGGGAGGAGGAGGAACATGATGATGATGATGAGGAGAAGGAGGAGGAAGAGAACAAGGATGAGGAAGAACAGCAGGAGGAGCAGGAGTAGGAGTAGGATGAGGAGGAGCAGGAGGAGCTGGAGGAGGAGGAGGAGGAGAAGGAGGCGGAGGATGAGTAGGAGGAGGGGAATCAGGAACAGGAGGAGGAGGAGGAGGCTGAGGAAGAGGAGGAGGAGGAGGAGAAAAAGGAGGAGAAGAAGGAGGAGGAGGAGAAGAAGGAGGAGGAGGAGTAGCAGGAGGGGAAAGGGAGAGCGATCATATTTTCAACCGAAGGCGCTCGATCGGCAACTGCTATCTGGGAGCTACTCTCGAAAATGCAGCGGCGCACGTCCGCCGCCGCGCCGCTGTCCACAAGCATCGCGAGCTCACGGAGGAGGAGCGAAGGAAGAGAGGAGGAGGAGGAGGAGGAGAAGAAGGATACTGAGGAAGAAAAGGAGGAGGCGGAGGAGGAGGAGGAGAAGGAAGAGGAAGACGATGAGGAAATGCAGGAAAAGGAAGAGGAGGAGGGGTCGGGGCGCTGTGCACGGGGAAGGTGAAGAGGAGGAGGAGGAGGAGGAGGAGGAGGAGGAGGAGGAGAAGGAGGAGGGGAAGGAGAGGAGGAGGAGGAGGAGAAGAAAAGAGGAGGAGAGGAGGAGGAGAGGAGGAGGAGGAGGAGGAGGAGGAGGAGGAGGGGGGCTGGGGCGCTGTGCACGGGGAAGAGGAGGAGGACGAGGAGGAGGAGGAGGAGGAGGAGGAGGAGGAGGAGGAGGAGGAGGAGGAGGAGGAGGAGGAGGAGGAAGGGCTGGGGCACTGTGCACGGGGAAGAGGAGGAGGAGGAGGAGGAGAAGAAAGAACGATGCAAGAGGAAAGGGCAGGAGACGGGAAGCGGAGGAGGAGGAGAAGAAGGAGGAAGAGGAGGAAGAGGAGGAGGAGGAGTCTGAGATGTCGTTGGTCGCAGTGCCACTGCACCGCCTCCTGAAAGGGCCCTGCCTCACAGTGGCTTCGGACCTGGCTAATGGCACGCTAATGAAAGCATTTCGGCACTAATGATCTCTTCACTCGCGGCAGCGCGTAAGAAAGATGAGAAGCGATCCACTCGAAGAGGATTAGTGGGTCCATCAGTGTCAGACACCATGAGCAGGACTCGTGGGTCAAAATCATCATGGGCCATAAGAAGGCCGAATCCGTTGGCCATTCGTGCGGCCACTGGTGGGCCGCTTGCGGGCCACCAGTGGGGAATCTGTGGGCCACTAGTGGGACGAGAAAACATGGTGGTGCATTCCATGAGCAGCTCTGAGGGGATGCCCTTTGTAGGCCCCGGAAACGGCAAGGCCGTTATTTCACCGTTTCCCAAAAAATGCCCCTTGAAAATGGAAACGGCAAAAAAACGGCGACCGGAAACGGCAACAGAAACGGCTTCAGGAAAACGGCGTCGGTCGGGAGCGGCCAAGAGGGGGGTGTCCAAGAGGGGGGGGTGCAAATCATGACCGGCGACACGTGCGCGGCCCAGCGGGGGGGCCTGGAATTATAATGAAATAAGAAGAGGCGCCATGAAATCTGAGGAAAAATCATGGTCCGCGCCATGACATCCTCCCCCCCCTAGTCATCGCCCCCCTCTTTTCCCGCTCCCGAGTCGGAACCGCGGCAACGAAAACGGCAACACGGGAGCGGTGACGACGCGGCCCTGTCGTTCCCAGGGCCCCCGGAGGGGGCGCCCTCCCCGACGCCGCCGGGCCCCCCTGCGCCTCTCGCTCGGGCGATCCGCGCCCGCGGCCTCGGCCTCCCCGCCCAGCTCCCCCCCCGCCCCCCTCCCCCTGGGACCCTTCTCAGAGGCCTCCCAGATGGGGTCCGCACAGATGGGGCAGGAGGATCGCGATATACATATATACATATATACATAGATATACACACATCTGGCTATCTATCGATCGATCTATCTATCTATCTATATATATATATATATATGTATATATCTCTCGGCGACACTTCACCGATTCATCGGCGCCGTCTGCGTGGAGAAGATCGGGCTCCACACCGAGTCGCCTCGGCAGTGCATCGGCGATGCGTCGCCGATGCGGCAACACCCTGCGACCCCGCCCACTCCGAGCCCGTCCGGGAGGCCCCGACTTCTCCGCGGTCCGAGGGCGGGCCCCCGCGAGCGGCGGAACGCATCACTATACGCGCCCTGGCGCTGCGGATCCCGGGGCGCGATCCCAAAGGAGGAGGAGGAGGGGGAGGAGGAGGGGGAGGAGGGGGAGGAGGAGGGGGAGGAGGAGGAGGAGGAGAGGAGGAGGAGGAGGACGAGGAGGAGGAGGAGGAGGAGGAGGGGATCTGCGGTGCCGCATGCAGAGGCGCTCCCCGCGCGGGGGGGCCGCGAGCAAGCCTGCCCAGCACCCACGGGGTCGCGGCCCGAGGGTCCACAACCCGCGAGGGGGCCGCAGACACGCGGGCACGTTCTCCGCCCACGGGGCGCCGGGGTGCGATGCCTGGCCTGCCAGGATGAAGGGGCCCCCTCGATGGGGTCTGAGCACATGGGGTCGGAGGATCGCGCCGTATGACCGATACACCCTGCGAAATGCTTTAGAAATCATGGGTTAAGAAATTGAGAGTCTCAGAATTTAAATAAAAACCCAGAATGTCCATTCAAATCTTAGGAGTTACATTGGAACATTAAGAATAATCGAGACTCTGGCCGAAAACTTAGGTTTTCTTAAGCATCGCCTAAGGTGTACATCGCAAAGGCATCGCCATGCACTGGCGACGTCGGCAACGCATCGGCGACGTCGGCGTGGAGAAGCTTGGACCCCACATCGAGCTGCATCTCATGATGCATCGCCGCTGCATCGGCGATGCGGCGCGATCCTCCGAGCCCATCTGTTCGGACCCCATCTGGGAGGCCTAGACAAGACGAAAGGGAGGGCTCCTCGCACCATCAACGCTCCGATGCCCCGAATGACGCCGAGATGATCTTCCATAGTGCTGCGCTCCGTCGAAGCAGATATCTGGCGGACCCCACCGATCTCCTGCCGCTCCCGCCGTCCTGCCTGTGCCTGGCTCCTGCACGCTTCACGCTCTGCGTCCGCTCCGTGCCTCTCAATCCGCCTCACTGTCCCCCTCGAACCCCCCTTCCCATCATCCATCAACATCAGGTCGGGAAACTGGAACACATCGGAACGAACATCGGGCATGGGCCGCATCGGCTCGGAGCCGACACCGAATCGAATGCGCTGCGCCTGGGTACGCAACTGCTCTGCACCAACACGGGGCCGCATCGGGTCACCGGGGATTCGACATCGAATCGGATCGAGCCGGCCAAACTTAGGCCGGGCATGTCCCCCCACAGGCGGAATTTGGACGAGAACTGAAAAATAGTCAAATCACTCTCCAACACTGTCAACAAATACTGAAAACTCGTACCCGCATTGTTTTTTGGACTAGTTTTGAACATTCCCCATGTAGAGGGACAGGCCCGACTCAAGGCCGAGCTCGACATCGAGTGGGATCGATCGAGTCGAGCTGGGCCCTGCCCTCCCTCCGCCTCGCTCTCGCCCTCCCCGCCTCGGGTGCCGTGGGCCTCCGCCTCGCTCCGAGCCGCTGGGCGGGGCGCCGTCTCCGGGTAGTTGAGGTCGAAGACCTTGTACATGTCGGGCCCGTGCTTGAAGGCGGCCCACCTCCCCTCTCTGGAGGAAGCGGAGGAGGAGGAGGAAGCGGAGGAGGAGGAGGAGGAGGAGGAGGAGGAGGAGGACGCGATTCTCTCTCTGGCCATCACCCCCGAGGAGAAACGACGGCAGGAAAGTGACGAATATGCGGCGACTGAGGATGACGATGATGATGATGATGCTGCTGCTGATGGCACTGATGATGCTGATGATGATGATGATGCTGATGATGATGATGATGATGATGCTGATGATGATACTTATACTGATACTGATACTGATACTGATGATGATCATGATGTTGCTGATTATGATGATGATCATGACCACTATCTTAATTATGCTGGTGATGATGATGGTGATGCTGGTGATGATGATGGTGATGACGATGCCGATGCCTATGATGATGGTAATGATGGTGATGATGATGATGATGGTGGTAATGATGGTGATGATGCTGATGCTGCTGATGATGATGCTGATGATGATGCTGCTGATGATGATGGTGGTGGTGATGATGAGGATGCTGATCTTACCCGCATTCATCAGACAGCTCGCAATGTGCGCTCAGGGCCAGAAGGCGCCCCCTCCTGCTGAGCGAAAGGTTGAGAGATGCCTGCTCTGCCCGTGCATCCCATCCGCCTCTGCCTCCTCATCCCCATATCCTTCCTCTCCTCTTCCTCCTCCTCCTCCTCCTCCACCTCCTCCTCCTCCTCCTCCTCCTCCTCCTCCTCCTCCTCCTCCTCCTCCTCCTCTCCGTAGCCATTTTGGCTCAAGGCCAAATGGTTCATCCATCACTGCCTCAACGGGGTAGGCTCCCAACTCGGGTATCCGTGTTTTTGCAGCAACTTCAGGGGCGAGCTGCCGCCCACGTCCGTATCCACTCGGCTTCCTCGAGAGCCCCAAGATGTAGGGCCGCGCCGCGCGCCAAGGGCACTGTGCGCCAGGACTGGACGTGCAAATCCTGTGTCAGCAAGCGCGGGCGCGCGGTGGTCAAATGGGGGACGGCGCTCAAGCGCCAGGAATGCAGGCTGCCCAAGCATGCATGCATGCCTCGGGGCGAATATGCCGCCGCCCCCGCCCGGCAGGGCGACGCGGCAGCCCGCAGCGACGGGCGGCAAACCCCGCCTTGGGCTGGAGGATCGCCGCTCTCGGTGCAGCCGGCGCAGGCGCAGGCGGGACCTCCAGGACCTCAGGAAGCAGCTCGAGGCCGCCAGCGGCGCGGGCACCGGGGGCGCGCAGCTCGCGGGGGCCCAGGACACGGCGGTCGACGACGGGCCCGCGGCCGGCACTCTGACGACGCGGCCCTGGCTGCGGAGGTCAAGGAGTGCGAGTCGGGCCTCCACGCGCTCAAGGAGGTCGCCGCGGACTGGGTCAGGGTGCCGCGCGACGAGCTGCGCACCAGGCTCGAGGAGGCGAAGGCCAAGAGATTCGCCAGGACGCGCGCCCTCGCCAACAAGGCTAAGCAGTGCGCCGAGCGGCCGGAGAAGGCGGAGGGCGCGATGCGCGAGGCCAAGGAGGCGCTGCCGCGGGCGAAGGAGGAGGTGGAGCAAGAGGAGGAGGAGGATGGAAGGCCCAGATCTCCCCGCGATGTGATCAGCAGAAGCGCAGCGCACGCAAGGTCTGGGAACATGTTCCTGGTCTCCTGGCGCTCTCAGCGGGCCCCGAGGCCGTCAGAAACCAGCTCGAGAGGAAAACTGGGCCTCGTGACTGGAGTCCAAACACTGGGTGGGGGGGAGGGCCATGTGTTGGGCGCCCGAGTTATCCGGGGTAACTCGGGCCCGGGGCAACTCGGGTTCGGATTCCCGAAAAGCGAACCCGAGTTAGCCCTGACCCGATTTACCCCTGATGATTCGGGTCTCTGAATGTGCTTGATTTGGGGCCACCGTCGTGCTGGAGTCAAGCTGGTGTAATTACCTGGGATGTCCTGCTGGCGTTGCACAGCCCGCAGCCAGGATGCAATCCGTTCTGCTTGTGCGGTGGACAAACCTCCCTTTAGCAAACCACCCTTTAGAGAAATCGGCCTGGGACCGAAACCGACGGACATGGACCCGCAAAAATGACGGCCGCGACGCCCTCTCGCGAATCGAAAACGGCCAATTCGCTAATCGACGTGTCAGGGTAGGAGGTTTATCAACCTCCGACTGTTGCTGCTGAGCTTCAGTCTTCCTCTCCCTCTACTTTGTTAGGTTCGTCAGCTTCGCTACCCTTCCTCCGTCCTGCTCCCTGTGTGTCCCCAGGCAGGCTGACCGCCTCAGGGCTGGTGACGTGCGACCCGGTCTCGCCCTGCGATCGGCGGAGATCGGTCTCGCCCTGCGATCGGCGGAGATCACCTGAGACAGCATCAGGGGACCACATGCAAAGCCTACCCCTACCCCCCATGATTTCTGAGAGGGAGGGGGAGGTTCGCATGTGGTCTCCTAAACATCGAGGGCCCCCGCCGTAGCAAGGGGCGACCCGTGGGGTCGTAAGGGATCCAGCCCCCATAGGGTACCAGACCGTGCCGTTGCCCATGACCCTGTTTCTCTTGCTGCTGTTCTCACGGGAGGTGTGGAAGGGGTATGCGCTATCTTGTCGTGTTGGTGTTGTTTGAGGAAGAGCTTGTTTGGAGGAGGAGCCGCTCTGCCCACCACATCCAGCTCGTGGTGACCGACTGTGTGCCGGAGGTGCTCTCACTTTTTGCATCTCTGTCGCCTCTCTTGTGCAGTACTTGCTCAAGAGTAGGAGGAGAAGGAGGAGGAGGGGGAGGAGGAGGAGGAGGAGGAGGAGGAGGAGGAGGAGGAGGAGGAGGAGGAGGAGGGAAGGGAAGCCCAGACCTTCCCGCGATGTGATCAACAGAAACACGGCGCAAGCAAGGTTTGGGAACATTTTCATGGGCTCCAGGCGCACTCAGTGGGCCCCGAAGCCGTCAGAAAACAACTGGGGAGGAGAGCTCGGCCCCGTGACTGGAGTCCGGACCCCAGTGGGGGTGAGGGCCCCGCAGTGAACAGAAACACGACCTCAGAGGTCTGCGGAGGGAGGGGGGGGGGGAAGGGAGAGGGCGACGGGGGGGGGGGGGAGGGGAATGGGGGAGGAGAGGGGGGCCGAGGGGGGAGAGGGAGAGGGGGGGAGAGGGTGGAGAGGAGAGAGAGAGGGAGAGCGAGAGGAGGGAGAGGGGGGGGGGAGAGGGGGGAGGGGGGAGAGAGAGGGGGGGAGGGGGGATGAGGGCGGGGGAGGAAGGGGAAAAGGAGAGGACAGGCTGGGGCTCGGGCCCGGCCTCTCGCTGCGCGTGGGGCTCGGGAGGGTGCGTGGGCCTCTTCTCCCTCCCGCCCCCTCTCGAGCGCCCCCCCCCCCCTGGGGCCCCACATCCGCGCCGTCCAGTTCGGGACCCCGTGCTCGCCGTAGTCGCCCACGTCGATGATCTGCACCTCGCCGCGTCTCTCCCAGATAGGTACGTGTACCACTCGGCGCTCTGGCGTGGCGAGGTTGCCCGCGGCCGCACAGGGACGCGGCGCCGGGGAGGCCGAGGCCAAGGTCGTCGGGGCGGCACCCCACCAATGGGGCCCCGAATAGGCCTCCAGACTGCCTCCGAGAGGCCTCCCACGAGACCCCAATGAACATCCAGTCTGCTTTATACCCACAGCCCAGGCACGGTGGCGGGATAGGCCGACAGTATGACCATTATACATATATATATATATATATATATATAGACGTAGAGATGCACATGGGTATGTATATGTGTTGATGTACAAATAGAACAACGAGAGCAGGAACGCGAACGAGAAGGATCTATATACATATATATCGAGATATACAAGAGGTAATGATTCCTCCCCCAGATATTCCCGGCTGGCCTCTGCAGACCCACCGAGTAGCCTGGGGCGGTCTCGACACCCTGGCGCGGGCGGCGCCGACACAACTGGGGTGACGAGGTCGCCCCCATCTTCTATGGGGGCCTGCTTAGGCACGCCTGGGCTGCCTGGGGGAGCTGTCTGTGCGCAAGGCGAGACTTGGCCAGAGAGGGCGAGAGGAGGGCGCTCCCAGATGGGGTCGGAGTAGAGTTAGGTCGGGGATGTCCCTCGACACGCGGATTTTGGACGAAAAACAAAAATTGTCAACACATGCTCAAAATAAGCAAAAAAAATGAAAACAAATCGTCCGCAGACTATTTTTTGACTAATCTGGAGTATTCCTCCTGTAGAGGTACATGCCCGACTTAAGGCTACCTGGGGGAGCTGTCTGTGCGCAGCCCGAAGCTTTGCTAGAGAGAGGGCGAGAGGAGGCCTCTCCCGGATGGGGTCGGAGGAAATGGGGTCGGAGGCTCGCGCCGCATCGCCGATGCATCGGCGGTACATCTCCGATGCATCGGCGACGTCGGCGATGCACCGGCGAGGCCAACGTGGAGAAAATCGGGCTCCACGTCGAGCCGCATCGCCGCTGCAGCGGCGATGCGGCGCGCGATCCTCGGAACCTATCTGCTCGGACCCCATCTGGGAGGCCTCGAATTAGGCCGGGCATGTCCCCTACAGGAGGATTTCCGAGGAATAATCTCAAATAGCCAGATAATACTCAACATCAGTTAAGAACTGTCCAGGCGAAGGACCCAACCATATGCAGTTGTGAGTAACGCATTTGTTGATATCGTCTTCGGTGGAGCTCTTTATGGGGCACGAAACGTGTGAAGGGTGTGCCAACATGGGCGCGGTGGTGTCATGAGAGCGCAGCCACTGGGGCCTTCGGTGGAACTCCCCATGGGGCCACGAAGCGTGTGAGGGGTGTGCCCAGGTGGGCACGGTGGTGCCATGTGAACGCAGCCACTGGGGCCTTCGGTGGAGCGCCTTGTGGGGCCACGAAACATGAGGGGTGTGCCGAAATTGGTGAGGTGGTGTCATACGAGCGCAGCCACTGGGGCCTTCGGTGGAGCTCCTTATGGGGCCAGAAGACGTGTGAGGGGCTTGCCGACATGGGTGCGGTGGTGTCATGCGAGCGCAGTCGCTGGGGCCTGCGGTGGAGCTCCTTACGTGGCCACGAAACGTGTGAGCCGTGCCGAAATTGGTGCGGTGGTGCCATGCGATCGCAGCTACTAGGGCTTTCGGTTGAGCTCCCCATGGGGCCACGAAACGTGTGAGGGGTGTGCCAACAAGGGCGCGGTGGTGTCATGCGAACGCAGCCACTGGGGCCTGCGGTGGAGCTCCGTATGGGGCCATGAAACGTGTGAGGGGTGTGCCGACATGGGCGCGGTGGTGCCATGCGAGCGCAGCCACTGGGGCCTTCGGTGGAGCTCCCCATGAGGCCACGAAACGTGTGAGGGGTGTGCCGAAAGTGGTGCGGCTGTGTTGTGCGAGCGCAGCCACTGGGGCCTGCGGTGGAGCTCCCCATGGGGCCACGAAACGTGTGATGCGTGTGCCGAAATGGGTATTGGGGGCGCATGCGGGCGGTGGCAGTGGGGCCTTCGGTGGAGCTCCCCATGGGGCCACGAAGCGTGCGAGGGGTGTCCCAAATTGGGTGTGGCGGGCGCATGCGGGCGGTGGCACTGGGGCCTTCGGTGGAGCTTCCTATGGGGCCACGAAACGTGTGAGGGGTGTGCTGGCATGAGTGTGGGGAGCGCGTGCGGGCGGTGGCACTGGGACTTTCGGTGGAGCTTCCTATGGGGCCACGAAACCTGTGGGGGTTGTGCTGACATGGGTGTGGGGGACGCATGCGGGCGGTGGCACTGGGGCCTTCGGTGGAGCTCCCTATGGGGCCACGAAGCGTGGCACTGGGGCCTTCGGTGGAGCTCCCTATGGGGCCACGAAACGCTGTACTGGGTGGGTGAAACGCAGAGAGGAAGGAGGGGGAGGAGGGAGGAGGGGGAAGAGGAAGGAGGACGCGGGGACCGTCTCTTCAAAACGAAGACCCAACACCACAGGATGGTTGGGAAATAACAAATACATCGTCTCCAGATGTTTATTATTATTATTATTATTATTATTATTATTATTATTATTATTATTATTATTATTATTATTTTAAAAATACTATTTTGGAATATTCCTTCTGTAGATGGACACGCCCGACTCAAGCGCAGAGCGAGCGGATGAAGGGGCCCAGGTACACACAAATAGCAGGATTCCCCCTCATTCCCCATAGTTCCTGTGCTCTCGTCTTCCCCCCCACTTCCAATGTTTTCCCACATTTCCCTGGGGTGTCGACGATCAATTGTGTCCGCGAAGTGCGGGCGGCCTTCCTCTGGGAAGTCCTCTTGGACAGGAAGCGCTGGCGATCGCGCCTTGGTGGTCAGGGCGAGCGGCTGTGTCGCGCGGGCCCCCGCTGCTGCGGGGGAGCTGTCACGCAGTTTGTCTGCTGCGGTCAGACCCTGCCGTTTTTGCCAATGAGTCGTGCAGGGAGATCTCGGTCTCGGGTCCCCGGAGCGGGAGAGGAGGGGGCGGCGCCTGCCCGCGTATCAGCAGCCCCTCGGTGAACATCGCCAGGCGGATCTGCCGGTGCGACCGCCGGGCCCCCGCGCCAAGGGCGCGGGGGCCAGAAGGCCTCGCCCGGCCCCGGCCCCGAGGGGCAGCCACGTCCCCGCCCCTTGGGTTGCGTCGGGCCTGTCTCCCTACAGAGCATTTTGGACGAAAGCTCAAGATAGTCAAACAATGATCAATAACAACCAAAGAAATGACTCAAACATCGTCCCCAGATTATTTTTTTGATGATTTTGGAACTTCCCTCCTGTGTAGGGACAGGCCCGACTTAGCCCTTGGGGCAGAGCGCATGGCAGGCTGCCTCTCGTTCGTGCCCTGCTTTCTCCTCCTCGCTCCTCCTCGCTCGCTCCTGCTCGCACGCCTCTTCCTCGTCCAGCCATGCTCCTCTTCCTCCCTCTCGTGCGTTGGCAGAACTGGGTTTAGTGGGACCTGGTTTAGTGATGTGTACTGGGGGACGCCCCCCCGCCCCGTTCCACTAACGGGAACTGTCATAACCCGAAAAAAACACCCGCTACGGCAGACCTGGTTTAGTGATTCTGGCCAATTTAGGGGCTCTGGGGCCCTACTACTAATCGGGTCCCCTTACCTGGGGTCCTGGATATACCCGACCCTCTCCTCCCCCGCCACCGCCTCCTTGTCCGTTCCCGCTGGCTGAGCCAGCCCCTCAGTTCCGACGGAGGCTCCCCAACACCACCTTCTTGCGTTGGACAAACTCTGGCCTCTGAGCCGTACCACCACCACCACCACCACCACCACCACCACCACCACCACCACCACCACCACCACCACCAGCCACCAGCCACCAGCCACCAGCCACCAGCCACCAGCCACCACCACCACCTACAAATACAAATACAAATACAAATACAAATACAACAACAACAACAACAACAACACCAACAACAACAACACCACCAACAACAACAACACCACCACCAACAACAACAACAACAACAACAACAACTACAACAACAACAACAGCAACAACAGCAACAACAACAACAACCACAACAACAACAACAACAACCACAACAACAACAACAACAACAACAATAACATCAGCAACAACAGCAACAACACCAACACCAACACCAACAACACCAACAACACCAACAACAACAACGACAACGACAACACCACCACCACCACCAACAGCAACAACAACACCACCACCAACAACAGCAACAACAGCAACGACGACAACAGCAACAACGGCAACAACAACTTCCTTCTCCTCCTCCTCCTCCTCCACAAGCTGCCATTACTGTTTCTCCTTCTCCTCCTCATCCTCCTCATCCTCCTCCTCCGCATCCGTTCTCCTCCCGGCGGGCGCGGCAGCCCGGCGGCAGGAGCAGGCGCGACTCGAAGCTCGAGGCTGCGCGCTGGCTCCTCCTGCCGCAGCGAAGCCCTCGACCGCCGCCTCGGCGGCGAGCGAGCGAGCGGGGGGGGAGGTGTGAAAGGGGCAGGCCCTCTCAGAATGTTCTTTTCCCCCCTTTTGAGCCCCTGAAAGTTTCGACACCACTGGAGAGGCGACCCGGAGGTGGGGGTTTTGGTGCAGCTGAGGGGGGAGGCCCCTCAGCAGACGCACGTTTGGCGCAAAAACCGGCTCCTTTGGACGGCATTGCGACCAGGGAGCTAGCCTCCGTCCCCCAACACGGGGGAGGAGAAGTGGGGAAAGCGACGGGCGGGGCGGCTGGATTCCCAGACCGCCCCATCGCCCGAGGTCCCCACTGGAAATCCCTGTGCAACGGTCGCCAGGGGGCCCGAAAGGACAACCCAAGCCGAGCTCCGCGGCGGAGCTTCTCAGAGGGCCTCGCGCCTTTTGAGAAGTCTCGGGTGTCTTCCTGGGAGGCTCATGGCACTTCTCGGAAGGCTGGCGTGACGTCGGGCGTGTCCCCCTACAGGGGGATTTTGGGCGGAAGAACAAAATACTCAAACAATGCTCCCCAAGTGGGCAAACATAGCCGACAAATCGTCACCAGACTATGCTTTGACTATTCTTGATTGTCCCTCCTGCAGAGGGACCAGGCCCGACGTGAGGCTGGCGGACCTCCGAGCCCTCTGGGAAGGCCCGCCCCTTCTCGCTCCCCCCGCGGGCTCGCCGCCGACCGCCGCCACCTTCTCCTCCACATCGCAGGCTTCCCAGCTGGGGTCGGAGCAGGAGGAGGAGAGGGGCGAGGAGGAGGAGGAGGAGGAGGAGGAGGAGGAGGAGGAGGAGGAGGAGGAACTTGGAGGAGGAGGGGGAGGAGGAGGAGGAACTTGGAGGAGGAGGGGGAGGAGGAGGAGGGGAGGAGGAGGAGGAGGAGGAGGAGGAGGTGGAGGATGTGGAGGAGGAGGAGGTGGAGGATGTGGAGGAGGAGGAGGAGGAGGAACCGTGAGAGCAGCGTATGTGTAGGTCTCCTAGATGGGGTCGGAGCAGATGGGGTCCGAGGGCCGCGCCGCCTCGCCGATGCATCGGCGATGCATCGGCGATGCCTCGTCGACGTCGGCGATGCATCGGCGACGTGGACGTGAAGCAAATCGGGCTGCACATCGAGCCGCATCGGCGATGCATCGGCGATGCGGCGCGATCCTCCCACCCCCCTTACTCCGACCTGATCTAGGAGACCGACACATACGCTGCTCTCACTGTTCCTTCTCCTCCTCCTCCTCCTCCTCCTCCTCCACATCCTCCTCCTCTCCTCCTCCTCCTCCTCCTCCCTCGTCCCTCGCCTCTCCTCCTCCTCCTCGTCCTTCTCCTCCCCTTTCCTCCTCCTCCCCTCCTCCTCCTCTCCTCCTCCTCCCCCTCCTCCTCTTCCTCCTACTCCTCCTCCTCCTCCTCCTCTCCTCCTCCTCCCCCCCTCCTCCTCCTCCTCCTCCTCCCCTCCCTCCTCCCCTCATCGTCCTCCTCCTCCTCCTGCCTCCTCCTCCTCCTCCAAATCCCTCCTCATCCTGGAGAGGCGTGGCAGCGTGACGGCAAGAGCTGGCGCGGCGTCGGCGGGCGGCCGTGCGGTCCCCGCGACCACTCCGCGCGCGTGCCATGAGAGAGCGGGTCGAGTCTTAGGTCGGGCATGCCCTCCTACAGGCGGATTTCGGACGAAGAGATAATACGACAGACCCAGACATATTCACAACTAGTAAGCACATAATGGGAACATCGTCCCCAGACTATTTGAACTATTTTGGAATCTTCCTCCTGTAGAGGGACAGGCCCGACTTAAGTCGAGTCGGGAAGGGGAGGGCGGGGATGCCATCAGTGGGCAACGCTCCCAAGCCCCCTCGCGCTGTGAACAGAAACATCGCGGCGGGATCTTTGTTCGCCATTTTCGGCCTGCAAGGGTCCTGGCCGGGCCTCGGGACCGTCGAACAACGGCTCGGGACGACACACTGGCCCCGGGTAACGGGTCGAGACCTCTGGGGGTCGAAGCTGCACGCAAAATCACGACGTCGGGGGCCTGGGCTGGGAGAGACCACTGCGGCGGGCGGCTCTCGTCTCGGCCTCCTTGGAGGGGGCCACCCCCTCGCCCTGTGCAGAGGCGCCTCTTTTTGGGGTGGGTGGGCAGGGCGAGAAAACGAACTGCACAGGCGTACACTGCTGGAGGCCCGCGCGGACTTTGCGGGGGGACGTAGAAAGATGGGATAGGAGCACGGGTGGGGCTACAGGCGAGGTCGCTCCAGAAGGCTGCTGGAATCAGGAAATCCGAGCATCCAGCGGGGTTTGTTCACCAACCCCGCATTGGCAGAACGCCCCCTCGACGAACCCCCTCGGCGCTGGAGCCCAGCCCGCTCCCTGGCGCGCGGAGCGCGCTGGGGCCGACGCCAGAGGCGCCGCCCGCCAAGGGGAGCCCAGCGCCGATGCGAGGAAGCCGCGTGGAGCTCAGCGAGTTCAGCATTCCAATCCCAGACCCCCGACGTCGGGATTTTTTCGCAACGTCGACCCCCAGAGGTCTCGACCTCCCCCCCCGGGGGCCGGCTTCTCATCCCGTCGCGACTTCTTCGCAGCGCGAGGGGGTCTGGGATTGCCTTTGGAGTCCCGAAAAGGTGCGGTGACGGACCGTGCAGTGACCTCGAAATCCCCCAAGACCTCACCGTTCGGTCCGTCACCGCACGGTCTTGGGACCTCGGGGGCCCCTGTCGCCCGAGACCTCCTCGGAGAACGACCCGAGTCCCAAAACCGTGTGGTGACCCCGAATTCCCACTGGCTCACCGCACGGTGTGGTCACCGCACCGTCTGGGGGCCCCCGATTGCCTTTTGTGGTCGCACTGGTCGGCCCGGGAAGAACGCGCGGTCAGGATTCAAGGGCCTTGGAGGACCACGTCAACGTTTTCCGAATGAGGCTGGCCAGCGAAAGCGGCCAAGGATGGACCGAGGAGGCAAGGATGCAAGGGCCCGGTGGTGGCATTGGATAAGGGAACCTTCGAGAAGGAACCCCGGGTCTGGAGGCCGGTGGAGCTGCAGTCGTGGAGCCGTGATGGATATCACCGCCGCCCTCATCAGATAGGGAAGCCTCCAGGGTCTGCAGCCTCCTGGGCACATTCATTACGGCGGGTGCATGGGATAAGGAACCCTTAGATAAAGAATCCAGGGTCTGGAGGCCGGTGGAGCTCCAATCGTGGATCCGCGATGGATATCACCGCCGCCCTCATCAGATTCGGCGGTGGACAAACCTCCCTTTAGTAAACCTCCCCACAATGAAAACGGCCTGGGACCGAAACCGACGGACCTGGACCCGCAAAATGATGGCCGCGACACCCTCTCGCGAACCGAAAACGGCCAATTCCTTAATCGACGTGTCAGGGTAGGAGGTCTATCAACCTCCGACAGATAAGGAAGCCTCCAGGGTCTGCAGCCTCCTGGGCACATTCCTTCCCGAACGCCCCCGCTGCACCCCTTGGGGAAGGCTGCCCGCCCACACCATGCGGGTTGGCTTTAGGTCGGGCCTGTCCCCCATACAGGGGGATTTTGGGCGAAAAATTAAAAATTATCCCAGTGCGACCCTACCTAGGAGTTGGACCCCCTAGGAAAGCAGCAATAGTAGTAACAGTAAGGCTAAGCCAAACCTAAGCTAAAACTAAGGTAAAGCTAAGCTAAAGCTAAGCTAAAGCTAAACTAAAGCTAAGCTAAAGTTAAGCTAACACTAAACGAAAGCTAAGCTAAATCAGAGCTAAAGCGAAGCTAAAGCTAAGCTAACGCTAAGGCACATCTAAGCTAAAACTAAGGCAAATCTAAGCTAAAGCTAAGCTAACGCTAAGCTGAAGCTAAGCTAACGCTAATCAAAATTTAAGCTCAAGCTAAGCTCAAGTTAAGCTAAAGCTAAGCTAAAGCTAAGCTAAAGCTAAGCTAAAGTTAAGCTAACACTAAACGAAAGCTAAGCTAAAGCAAAGCTAAAGCAAAGCTACAGCGAAGCTACAGCGAAGCTGCTAAGCTAAAGCTAAGCTAACGCTAAGCTAAAGCTAAGCTACAGCTAAGCTACAGCTAAGCTAAAGCTAAAGCTACAGCTAAACTTAAAGCTATATCGAAAGCGAAAGCTAAAGCTAAGCTAAAGCAAAAGTTAAGCTAAAGCTAAAGCTAAAGCTAAAGCTAAAGCGAAAGCTCCCAGGGGACTGGGGGAACCGCGGGGCGGGGACTGGGGGAACCGCCTGGGGCGCTTTCCACTGCCCGGCCCCTTTAGCCTAAGAGAGTAAGAACCCTTCTAGGCAGAGCCTAGGTAGGGAAATAGTAGAACCATACGCCAAAAACAATCAAACATACTAAATAAGATTGTCCCCAGACTATTTTTGGACTATTTTTGAATATCCCCCCTGTGGAGGGACAGGCCCGACTTCAGGTTGGCTGTCGCCTCCTGTGGTCGCGCGGGTCGGCCCGCCGGACTCTCCGGAGGCCGCCCCCTGCGGGGGGGACCTCCTGCCTCCGCTGGTCGACCTCCCCCTCCTCCTCCTCCTCCTCCTCCTCCTCCTCCTCCTCCTCCTCCTCCTCCTCCCTCCTCCTCCCTCCCTCCTCCTCCTCCTCCTCCTCCTCCTCTCCTCCCTCCTCCCTCCTCCCTCCTCCCTCCTCCCTCCTCCTCCTCCTCCTCCTCCTCCTCCTCCTCCTCCTCCTCCTCCTCCTCCTCCTCCCGCTCCCCGCTGTGCGGGGGTCCTCGAGGGGGCCTGCGGCAACAGTCCGGCGGCGAGCCCCTGCGGATCAGCTCCAGCTTGCACAGGCTGTCCACCTCGGGGCCCAGCTCCCCCCCCCGGCGGCACGACTTCGGCCCAAGGACCCCCCCGCGCTCCGACAGACATGTCGCGACGGGAGGCGTCTCGCCATCTTCGGCCTCCGGGGGCCCCTGCCCGGCCTCGGGGCCGCCCCCAGAGCGACGCAGGATGAGAAGCCAAGGTCCCGGGGAAACGGTCGAGACCTCTGGGGGCCGACGCCTGAAACATTACGACGCGGGGGGGGGTCTGGGGACGTGGGCCCCCCCCTGGACCCCTCCCCTGGGGCGGGCTTTTCATCCCGGGCCACTCTTTGACAGCCACGTGGAGCTCGGCGAGGGCACCCAGTGGCCGACCACTGGCCCAAGGAGGAGGAGTAGGAGGAGCAGGAGGACGAGGAGGAGGAGGAGCAGGAGGACGAGGAGGAGGAGGAGGATGAGGAGGAGGATAGGGTAGAATGGAAGGGGAGGCAGACAGGGAAAGAAGGGGGGCCGCGACACGGCCAGAGCGAGCTCAGAGCGCGAAAAGCTCCGGGACGCGCAGGGGTGAGGCTCAGGTGCTCGGCGCCGTCGGGAGGCAGTTTTGCTTTAGACTCTGGCAAGTTTGACGTAGAGGCCTCCTAAACGGGGTCGGAGTAGATGGGGTCGGAAGATCGCGCCGCATCGCCGATACATTGGGGATGCATCGTCGACGTGGGCGATGCATCGGCAACGTCGACGTGGGCGATGCATCGGCAATGTCGACGTGAAGCAAGTCAGGCTCCACATCGAGCCGCATCGGTGATGCATCGGCGATGCGGTGCGATCCTCCGATCCCATCTAGGAGGACTGGAATGGAGGGCGGGAGGGGGTTGGAACGGAAAAGACATCTGGACCTCACGCAAGCCAGGACTCATCAGCACGCCTCTCTGGCCCAGCGCCCTCTTGAAAGAGCGGCCGAGGGATGGTGGTGGGGAATGTCATGCAAGGGAACTTGCCTGAACCTCGAGAAACATAGCCTTTGATGCGGGCGCACGCTTGGAAAAACTGGGTGCTCGCTGTACACCGTCAACCAGGTTACCGTGGGAGACCTCGTAAAGCTCCCTGCACTTACAGAAATCCGCCGGCCCCCTTGTGGGGCCACCAGGCTGTAGGGCGAAGGTTCGCAGTTTTCTGTGCCAGTTGCAGCTTCCAGTTTCCACTGTTACAGTTTTGCTTCTTGCTGCTTACAGTTCCTTGTTGATGGACCGCGCGAGGGGGGGAGGCCCAAACGGGCAGGTTTAGCACGCCCTGAGCGTGTGCTCTGAATTGCTGGGGTGGGTAAACATTAACACCCCTCACGCAGATCGGCGGGGTCAGGGTCCCAAAACACATGGGATTTGCCACATTTCTGAAATTCGGTGGCACCCCTCGCGCAGATCGGCGGGGTCAGGGTCCAAAAACACATGGGATTTGCTACATTTCTGAAATTGGCTGGCACCCTCATGCAGATCGGGGGGGTCAGGGTCAAAAAACACATGGGACTTGCAACATTTCTGACACTCGGTGGCACCCCTGATACAGATCGGCGGGCCTGGGTGCAAAAACACATGGGATTTGCTACATTTCTGAAATTTGCTGGCACCCCTCACGCAGATCGGCGGGGTCAGGGTCAAAAAACATTTGGGATTTGCCACATTTCTGAAATTCGGTGGCACCCCTCGCGCAGATCGGCGGGGCCATGGTCCAAAAACACATGGGATCTGCTACATTTCTGGAATTCGGTGGCACCCCTCACGCAGATCGGCGGGGTCAGGGTCCGAAAAACCAAGGGATTCTCAACATTTCTGGAATTCGGTGGCACCCCTCACGCAGATCGGCGGGGTCAGGGTCCAAAAACATTGGGGATGTGCCACATGTTTTTAATTCGGTGGCACCCCTCACACAGATCGGCGGTGTCAGGGTGCAAACACACAAAGGATTTGTCACATTTTTGAAATTCATACAACAGCGAGTACAACAATGGACTCGCAATCTCCATTCGTCTTGCCAATTACCCATCGTTATCGCATGAAGTTCCGACGCTGCTTCACGGCGAAGCCAAAGCCTCATGTCTTCGTTCTTCCATGGCCCATTCTCCGAGAGAGGGGGCCGGCGGCATGGGGCGAAGCCCTTACGGATTCACGTGCTCTCATTCGAAAGCATCTGAGCTCATTCGCTGGCCACCAGCTGCAGCTCAGACCAGGAAACCACCGACGCAAGGCGGCATGCAGCTTGAGTTGGAATCGTCGTGTGTTGTTTGTCGGAGGTGCGGGGGTGAGATCGAAGTGGAACGGAGAGCCCCCCTACCGGGAAATCGATTTCGGTTTCGTGTTCGTGCGTGCCGTGCGGGCGGGCGAGGCGAAGCTGCGTGGGCGGGCGAGAACATGATGGACCCACGAACCCGGAAAGGGATATAGACATGTGGAGCATGGGCACGTTTTCACGATACCCAACGGGGCAACACCTCACGAAACATCCCACGAGACACCTCACGAAACATCCCACGAGACACCTCACGAAACATTCCACGAGACACCTCACGAAACATTCCAGGAGACACCCCGCGAAACATTCCACGAGACACCCCACGAAACATTCCACGACGACAGGCAACCACTCAACCAAGGCGGTGTGGTCGTGCTGGGGAGTGGTCGTGCTGGGGTGTGGTCGTGCTGGGGGGTGGTCGTGCTGGGGTGTGGTCGTGCTGGGGGGGTGGTCGTGCTGGGGGGTGGTTGTGCTGGGGCGTGGTCGTGCTGGGGCGTGGTCGTGCTGGGGCGTGGTCGTGCTGGGGTGTGGTCGTGCTGTGGTGAGGTCGTGCTGGGGTGTGGTCGTGCTGGGGTGTGGTCTTGCTGGGGTAGGGTCGTGCTGGGGTCGGGTCGTGCTGGGGTGTGGTCGTGCTGGGGTGTGGTCGTGCTGGGGTGGGGTCGTGCTGGGGTGTGGTCGTGCTGGGGTCTGGTCGTGCTGGGGTGTGGTCGTGCTGGGGTGCGGGGTCGTGCTCGTGTGGGGTGTGGTCGTGCTGGGTTGGTGGTCGTGCTGGGGCGTGGGGTGGGTGCTGTCGTGCTGGGTGGGTCGTGCTGGGTTCTATTAGGGTGTGGTCTGTGCTGGGCGTGTGGGATGGGGTGGTCGTGCTGGGGCGTGGTCGTGCTGGGGCGTGGTCGTGCTGGGGCGTGGTCGTGCTGGGGCGTGGTCGTGCTGGGGTGTGGTCGTGCTGTGGTAAGGTCGTGCTGGGGTGCGGTCGTGCTGGGGTGTGGTCTTGGTCGTGCTGGGGTGTGGTCGTGCTGAAGTGTGGTCGTGTTGGGGTGTGGTCGTGCTGGGGCGTGGTCGTGCTGGGGTGGGGTCGTGCTGGAGTGGGGTCGTGCTGGGGTGTGGTCGTGCTGGGGTGGTCCGCACCCTGTGACTTATCGATCGGGTCGTGCTGGGGTGTGGTCGTGCTGGTGCTGGGGTGTGGTCGTGCTGGGGTGTGGTCGTGCTGGGGGGTGGTCGTGCTGAGGTGTGTTCGTGCTGGGGTGTGGTCGTGCTGGGGCGTGGTCGTGCGGTGGGGTCGTGCATTTCGCTCGAGACATCCTGCCAAAATTCCAGGAAATCGTACAAAAACAAACGAATTAGTCGAGACAACATCGAAATTCCTTCGCGCGGGGCGCTTTTCCGCGTCGCGGTCGGCTCTGCAAAACCAGCGTTTCGCTTGAGACATCCTCAGCAAATTCTGAAAACAAGCGTTTCGCTCGAGACATCCTCCAATCTTGCAAAACCAGCGTTTCGCTCGAGACATCCTCAACAAATTCTGAAAAACAAGCGTTTCGCTCGAGACATCCTCAAATTTTAATTCGCCGGCCTCCTTCGACCTCGATATTTATCAGGGAAAAAATTCGCCGGCATCCTTCAAGTTGGCACCGGGGGACAGGTTTACCCACTAAAAGAGAACCCTGGGCTCATGCCCTTTCCGGGAAAAAAACGTCGCCGGGCCACTCGCCGCGGCCTGTTCGGCCACGGCGTCAGCGGCCGCGAGTCGCGGTGCAGCGCAGGGGCGGCGCCCTGGGGCGCCCGTCTGAGGCCCCCGCCAGCACCGTCTCCTTGCCGAACTCGCGCGTGCCGCCCTCGCGGCCGCGGGGCGGGCGGGGCCGCGTGGGAGGGGCCGGGGGGGGGGGGCAGTTCTCGCTGACCCGGTTCTCCAAGCAGGCTTGCCCTGGCTCATCATGAGTATTTGGTCTTTAGCACCCCCCCTCCCCCTTCTTCCAATGGCCCCCCCTTTTTCCAATGGCACTGGCTTGCTTGCTCTTGCGTGCTTGCTCTCACTTGCTTGCTCTTGCTTGCCATTGCTTGCTTGCACTTGATCGCTGGCTCTTGCTTGCTTGTTACTGCTCGCTTGCGCTTGCTTGCGCTTGCTTGATGTTTCTCCTCCCGTTCTCCTCCCGTCCTGCTCCAATCCTCCTTTCGTCCTCGTCCCATCCTCCTCTCGTCCACCTACTGTCCTCCTATCTATTTGGAGTCAACGCTGGCTGATATTATGTTTGCTTACAGTAAGGGCCCGACCACAAGAAACCTTTCACAAGAAGCCCATCCCTGCGACCCACCCAGGGCGTCCACTGATTTTTGGTGTGGGGACGTCACGCTTTCCATCGCATAACCATCGAAACCAAAGAAACCCAGGGCACCCTGGAGGCAAGCAGGGTGCATCTTGGCAGGAGTCTCCACTGTATGAAGGCGGTCTGCCGCACGGCAGAGCAATGACAAAGAAGCCGCCACATGATCATGCGATGCGTCTCGGGGTCAGCGCAACGTCAACATTATGATGACGGCACCTGGCTGGAAAGAGGCACCCATTCCACCGCGAGGAGTCCACTGGGGCCCTCGGAGGTAGCGCCTGGCATGCGAGGGACAGGTACTGATACATGCTCGCGCCGCGAGCAAACTCACAATCACGGCGGGACATTTTGAGCCATGTTCGGCCTCTGAGGGCCCTCACCGGTCCCCGGGAGCGTCAGAAAACAACTCGGGATGAACGACCCAGCCTGGGCAAGAGGTCGGGATTTCTAGGGGGGCCCCGCGTTGAAAGCATCAAGATGTTCCATGCCTGGGTGTCGATACCGCTGCTAGCAGATCAGGTGCGTGCTCATACGGAGTAGACAAATCCGTGGACCTGGCCCGTGCGCGCCGGGGGAGAGCAATCTCTCTCCGAACCAAGGAGCCAGTGTTAGGTCAGGCATGTCCCCCTACAGGCGGATTCTGGACGACAAATGAACAGTAGTCAAAACATATCCCCAAATGGGCAACAAGAATCAAACAAATCGTCCCTAGACTATTTTTTAGAACCGTTTTGGGATATCCCTCCCTCATCGTCGTCGTGGGTCGTCGCTGTAAAGTCCTCATCGTCGTTCTCAGTCGTCGTCGTCGTCGTCGCCGTCGCCGTCGTCGGTCGTCGGTCGTCGGTCTTTCGTCGTCGGTCGTCGGTCCCTCGTCGTCGGTCGTCGGTCGTCGGTCTTTCGTCGTCGTCGTTCTTGTCGTCGTCGTCGTCGTCGACTTCGCCGTCGTCGTCGTCGCCCTCGCCCTCGTCCGCGGCGAGGCGAAACTCAAGTCCAGACGAACCCCCCGAAAGCCAGGGCAATCCGCGGCCACGACGGCGAGACTGCTGAGAGGGGCCCGCTGAAGAAATGTTCTGCGAACCGAACCGGCTCTTCGGAAGGCTCGGGGCAGCGCCCGCCCGACGACGGGGTCGCAGGGCCCTGGCCGACCTGGACTGTCGCAGACTTGGAGGCCTGGATATGGGCACCAACACCAACACGGGGGGGTGCCTTCACAAGGGGAAGATGATCCTGGACTTCGGCGTCGCTAGTAATATTCCGGCCACCTTGGAATCCTGAATATTACCACCATCTAAGAGATCGGGATCTTCTTCCCTCGGTGGAGGCACGCGGCCGATTTTGGTGTTGGTGTCAACCTTCAGGCCTGCGACAGACATGTGTGGAAAGCGTCTCGCGCCTTCGCGATGCCTTCTGGGTGATGCGCCCGGGCAGCTCTGCAGAGCAGTGCGCGATCAAACACGGGCATGGTGTCATGGGACATGTTGCATGTGCTGCTCCACTCATCGATGGCAAGTTTTCGCTATGCTGTCCATACCACGTGCGAGACCTCAACTACAGCAGCCCAGAGCATCGCGGACGACAGCTTCAATAATTCGAATGCTCCGAAATGGGATCCACCAACATAGCCTGGCAGGATGTGCGGAGCGGTTAGAACAGCTTCGCATTCCTTCGGGAAACCAGCGCCCTGCTCGCTCGGCATTCGATCCAATTCCATCACCACTGGTCCATCGCAAAGTATAGTTGCTTGGCTGCGCTGCTGCACCAAGTTTCGTGGCACCTCACCCGTGAAGTAATTAAGACCCTCCATCAAATCAACGTCGAAACTCCAAGTCGAACCATCTTCTGCGATATCTTTTTCAACATCCTCACAGTGTCGTCGCGCTTCTCAATCACTGAATCCTTCGGCCTATACAACCCGCATAGCTTATGTCGGCCGATTAGGTGCCCTCTTCTTGGTACGAGTAAATATGACTTACCAGTGGCGTCCTCCAAATACCAATCTGATACGATGCTACGCTGACATGTCGCGCAGAACAACCGCACTGCGCAACTTGTGCGGTGCTTCACACATGGGAAAGCACGAATCCTTTCAGATGGGGTGTAAAAACCTTCACTTGAAGTCCTCATCCTCCTCTTTTTGCCGGCTGCTTGGCCACATGAGGCGGGCTGCAATAAAGTTACCGGCTCGGTTGAGGTACTGCCAACTGCAGCCTTCAGTTTTGTCCATTGTCGTCCTTCGCAAGCCAAATTCAAATCACCATGCCGATTTTCAAAACGCTCTATGAAATACCTCATGCGGGCCAATACGGGCTCGATTTGTTCATCCTCCAAGCGCAAGCGCCCTCTCCATAATACAATAGCCTGCACCATGATCCGGCGAAGCTCCTTTTGAATCAGAGCTGATGCGCGCAGGCGCTCCGCAGCAAAGTCGTCCAGAGGTTCCCTCGGGTCGCTCCGCGCTGACTTTCCTCGAGGACAAGATACTACGGCAGCAACTTCGTACAGCAAGCCGCGCAAATGCACACTGCTCATCTCATCGCTGCTCGATGTCTCTGCAAAGCGTCTGATCAACTCGCTTGCATATGCCTGCCGCTCGTTGAACTCGAAATTCTCCCATTTGCAAATTCGGCGATTCAGGCGTCGCACTCGTTTTAACATCCAGATGTCGCGTTCTTCGCCGCCCTGGTCGTGGCATGATTGGGCCACAAGCTCTTTCATGTGATCTCGATTCCTCGGAAGGCTTTTGGGGAGCAAGTCCCGAAGCTTCTGCCAATCACGCTTACGACGGCATGATCCAGACCTCAACATGAGCGTACAACTCGAAAGAACAGCCGACAAAGCAGCGCGTGCTCTGTCGTCTAACATCGCGCGGCCACGCAGACAAAGCATCTTCTGAAGAACAAGCACAGGCGATAACCCATCGTTCCTGGTACGCTTGGCCGCGTCTTTGAGTGGCTGTGCCAGAGCAATCCAAGCGCAGACGTGACTCATGTGTCTTACCAGCTCTTTCCCGCCCATCACCTCCGATTTTCTGGAGTATCTTTCGAGAACCTCATCTGGCGCAGGGCTCCGATAGAACATCCTGGCGTGCCGCTGCAATTTTTCTGCCGCCGAAGGCATTTCAACGCAAGGCAATCAAGGTCAGTACCCAGACCGACGTCGGGCCACGCGGCACTGTTTTTCTTGGTCGCGGGGCCCCGTGGCGCTTTTGACAAGTGTGGGGACCCGACAGCGGCACCCAAATGCCGAATGGAGTCGCCAGAAACGACACAGAAGCGAAACTCTTGAGCACAACAGGCTTGAGCCACAACGGCAACGGAAGAATCTCACCAAACGCTTCGCAGCAGGAGGCGCCTGCCCTTCGACCCCCTCGTTTCTGATTGACCCCGGCCTCGACGTCGACACCGACCATCCAGTCGATCGGCGGTGGACAAACCTCCCTTTAGTAGACCTCCCCTTAGTGAAAACGGCCTGGGACCGAAACCGACGGACCTGGACCCGCAAACATGACGGCCGCGACGCCCTCTCGCGAACCGAGAACGGCCATTTCCTTAATCGACGTGCCAGGGTAGGAGGTCTGTCCATCCAGTCGATCAGCATCGCACACAGCACGAACCTCCGATGCGTGCCAACGGCCTCGGACGCCAGGACCGGCTCTGCACTGCCTCGCTGCGCCTGTCGCCGCTGCACCCGGGGCTGCTCTGCAGCGTCAGAGGGCGCGTGGCCCCAGCTGGCCTTAGGTTGGGCACGTCCCCCTACAGGCGGCTTTTGGGCAACAGGCATATATATATATATATACACACACACCCCAAACACGTTCAAACATAGCAAAAACATGATGGACCCACGAACCCGGAAAGGGATATAGACATGTGGAGCATGGACACGTTTTCATGATACCCAACTGGGCAACACCTCACGAAACATCCCACGAGACACCTCACGAAACAGCCCACGAGACACCTCACGAAACATTCAACGAGGACACCTCACGAAAACATTTCACGAAGACACCCCGCGAAAACATTCCACGAGACAACCCCACGAAACATTCACGGACGAAGGCAACCACTAACCAAGGCGGTGTGGTCGTGCTGGGGGGTGGTCGTGCTGGGGCGTGGTCGTGCTGGGGCGTGGTCGTGCTGGGGCGTGGTCGTGCTGGGGCGTGGTCGTGCTGGGGCGTGGTCGTGCGGGGGTGTGGTCGTGCTGTGGTAAGGTCGTGCTGGGGTGCGGTCGTGCTGGGGTGTGGTCTTGCTGGGGTGGGGTCGTGCTGGGGTGTGATCGTGCTGGGGTGGGGTCGTGCTGGGGTGTGGTCGTGCTGGGGTGTGGTCGTGCTAGGGTGTGGTCGTGCTGGGGTGGGGTCGTGCTGGGGAGTGGTCGTGCTGGGGTGTGGTCGTGCTGGGGTGTGGTCATGCTGGGGCGTGGTCGTGCTGGGGTGGGGTCGTGCTGGGGGGGGGTCGTGCTGGGGTGGGTTCGTGCTGGGGTGCTGTGGTTCTATGCTGGGGCCGTGGTCGTGCTGGGGGGGGGTCGTGCTGGGGTGGGGGCGTGCTGGGGCTGGGTTCTTGCTGGGGTGCTTCCGCACAATGTGTTTACGATCGGGTCGTGCGGGGTGTGGTTCGGGCTGGGGTGTGGTCGTGATGGGGGGGGGTCGTGCTGGGGTGTGGTCGCAGGGTCGTCGTTGGTTCGTCTGGGGATGTCGTGATGGGGTGTGGTCGTGCTGGGGTGTGGTCGTGCTGGGGTGTGGTCGTGCTGGGGTGTGGTCGTGCTTGGGGGGTGGTCGTGCTGGGGGGTGGTCGTGCTGGGGCGTGGTCGTGCTGGGGCGTGGTCGTGCTGGGGCGTGGTCGTGCTGGGGCGTGGTCGTGCTGTGGTGAGGTCGTGCTGGGGTGTGGTCGTGCTGGGGTGTGGTCTTGCTGGGGTAGGGTCGTGCTGGGGTCGGGTCTTGCTGGGGTGTGGTCGTGCTGGGGTATGGTCGTGCTGGGGTGGGGTCGTGCTGGGGTGGGGTCGTGCTGGGGTCTGGTCGTGCTGGGGTGTGGTCGTGCTGGGGTATGGTCGTGCTAGGGTGGGGTCGTGCATTTCGCTCGAGACATCCTGCAAAAATTCCAGGAAATCGTACAAAAACAAAGGAATTAGTCGAGACATCATCGAAATTCCTTCGCGCGGGGCGCTTTTCCGCGTCGCGGTCGGCTCTGCAAAACAAGCGTTTCGCTCGAGACATCCTCGGAAAACTCTGCGGAGCAAGCGTTTCGCTCGAGACATCCTCAACACACGAAAAAGTGGCCCGCACCCTGTGATTTATCGATCGGGATTTCAAAAACAAGCGTTTCGCTCGAGACATCCTCACATTTTAATTCGCCGGCCTCCTTCGACCTCGTTATTTATCAGGGAAAAAATTCGCACCTCCCTCAAGTTGGCACCGGGGGACAGGTTTACTACTTAAAAAGAGAACCCTGGGCCTATGCCTTTGTCGGGAAAACAAAACGAAATTAGTCGCAGACATCATCGTAAATTCTCTTTTTCGCGCGGGGGCGCTTTTTCCGCGTCGCGGTACTCGGCTCTGCTAAAAAAAAAGGGCGTTTCGCTCCGCGAGACATCCTCGGCAAAAAACTTTTCCTGCGGAGCAAGCGTTCTCGCGCGAGACATCCCAGCCGTAAGGCCTGAAAAATAAAAATTAACAAATACATTTTAAAACAAAATGAGCTTGAGTGAAAAAGTTCGGGGTGCTTCTCCGCATCCCTCGTTGTCGATGTAGCGACGGGTATTTCAAAAACAAGCGTTTCGCTCGAGACATCCTCAAATTTTAATTCGCCGGCCTCCTTCGACCTCGTTATTTATCAGGGAAAAAATTCGCCGGCCTCCCTCAAGTTGGCACCGGGGGACAGGTTTACCTACTAAAAGAGAACCCTGGGCCGATGCCCTTTCCGGGAAAATGTAACGCATGGCAACGTTTTCAAAGACACCTGATTGGGTGACGGGCAAATGCAATGCTGCTCGTGTCGATCTTGATGTAACGTGCCGAGGACTGTGCTGTGCTGCACCGTGCTGAATTGCGATGTGCCATGCCGCGGTTGTGCTCTATAGCGTCGTGGATCGAGTCTTCCTTTGCATCCGAGTCCTGACCGAACTGATCTGGATCTGAAGCTCGAGCTGCCTGAACACATAGTAGCTGCCCA